TTACTATATAGAGAGTGTGGAGTCCCAGTGTGGCACTGAACTGCTAACTGCAAGGCCAGCAATTCAAACCATCAGCTACTCCTTGGAAACCCAATATAGGGTTGCTATGAGTTGGAACCGACTTGATAGCACTCGACAACAATAAATATAGAGAATATGGATTCCTGGTGTGGCACTAAAGGACAAACATTGGATCTTAAGGTCAGTATGAACTACAATGCCAGCAGTTCAAATCCTCCAACCATTCCTGGGAAACCCATACAGGGTCTCTATGAGTCAGAAACAACTCAATGGAACTTAACAATAACAATATATAGATAGTGTAACACTATAGGATAAGCATTATTCTGCTAACTGCAAGATTGGCGGTTCAAATCCACCAACTAGTCCTCAGAAACCTGATACTGGGTTGCAATGAGTTATAATCAACTCCATGATACTTAAAACATATACAGACTTAAGCTTCCCTAGTATTTTTCTTTTATCATAGACTATTTATGAATTAAAAGTTTGTTGGAAATAGCAAAGAAAAATGACATTAGTTAGTAAAATAATAACTAACTCAAGCTTTTATTTTATCACAAGGAATACTTGTGAGGAAGAGAAAAGGAAATTTACAAATATTGTCAGGGAAAAAAAATCAGACTTCCATGTAAATAAATTAATCACTTGAGAATATAAAAATGCCCATCATTTGATTTCTTATAAATATTCCTACTTTCATTTTTTTCTTTCTTGAATAATAATAATAATAATCCATTTTCTTTGCATAGTAATGTGTCCAGTTTAATTTTAACTTCTACCTGTTGCTATCAGACATAATATCTAAGAAAAATTATTCAATTAAAGTGGTATCTTTAAAACTCTCTTAGAAGCATTGCATTATAAATATAAAGACTAAAGAAATGTCCATATTAAAATTATTTCCCAGAGAACTCAGTATTGCTATAAATTGTAACAAAATCCACAAGCATCACAAATACAAGCTGATTAGATCACTTTATTCATGTTTTATAATCACTTGTATTTCATCCTCATGTCAATCTTGAAGATGATTATTGGCAGGATATTAAGCCAATGACCTTGTTAAGTGCCACCGAGTCAGTTCTGACTCACAGGAACCCTGTATAGGGTTTCTGAGGAGCAGCTGGTGGATTTGAACTACCAACCTTATGGTTCAAGCCAAGCTTGCAGTCAGTCCAGTGCTTATCCTATAGTGCCACACTAGGACTCCAAAGCCCCTTATGCCAATACCTTAAAATATGATGCAATATAATTTATTTCTTCCTGTTAAGGACTTAAGTTAAAAATTCTTCCCCTCTAAATGTTAACAGGCAAAAAAACGATAGAATGTGGAATACCCTGTAGATTTAAGTTCTGGTGCAGTTAATAAATTATAGAATAGAAGTACCAGAAACTTCATATCCTCCGCCAACAAAATGTACTCTTTTAAAAATGATAGGCTTCAATTAGGGTGATTAAAGCTGAAAGCAATCCAGTGATTTAATGATAGCTTAATGTTTGGAGAGTTGAATATTGATGTCGGACTCATTGCAAGGGATGTCCAAATTCAATTTGGAGAGAATCCTGCTTTTAAAAATAGTATTTTTTAAAAGTAATTCTACTTCTTGCTAATTATGCTACATACTAGAGAAAAGAATGTGATATAAAATATCTGCTTTAGGTTTAATCTGGTTGGGGAAGTGAACTAATTATTGAAACATCCAAAGCTTGTATAATGTATCTTCTTTCTATCTTCTAAGACATTCTAACAGGATTGACCCTATGAAGTATTACAATGAGACTGATGCATATCCTTACCCTTAATTATAGTGCTATATATGATATTAACAGGACCTCAGAAACGTTTCTGTGATTTGAGATATTACAAAATGCTAATTATTCCCAAAATCAATGAGTTTCTGAAGATTATGGTCCTAATTTTTCTTCTCAATTTAGAAATAAGAACCTTTGATTTCAGTGACATAGGATGAATTCTGTTGTATAAACAAATGAGCAAAATGTCTAAATTGCCAGATTTATTTTTTTAAAGCCACAGCAGTAAAAGGAGCAGTATGATATCATTCAAGAAATAGTATCAGAAAATGGAAACAAATGCACACAATTTTAAGATAAGATTTTGTTATTTAAAAATTGTTGCTGAACAGTTTCTCACTGAGAAACATACAACCAGGAAATTTTGGCCAAAAAATACACATAATTATACCAAGGAACTAAAGAAGTAACAGTTTATCTCCACAAAGATAATTGCCCACTCCACACCAGTACTTATGCAATAATAACCCCTTCCAGAATGGCATTATTTTCAGTTAGATATTATGATGTTCACATCATGTTAAACCAAAAATAAAAATAAATAATTTTCCTACAAATTATGTTTTATTCACAATAAAAAACACAAAATGCTTCCCTTGTGAACTTGTATTAGATTAAACATGCACTGATACTATCAGATACATTAATGAAATGGGTTTAGATAAAATTGGAATTTCAACTAATGACTCTTCATCTGTAATGATTAACTAATAGACTATAATCTCTATAATCCAGTTACTTAGAAGAGGCGAGCACTCTGGAAGAGATTCTAGAACTAACACTGACATCTACCTTTTAAGAAGGATTAGCTGTTGTTTTTCAAAATAGAAAGGTAATGAAATACTACACAGTTCAAGAAGAAGGCACCAAGGAAAACAGTGAGCATTACGGTAATGGGAATTTTGGTAACAGTTATGAGTTGTACAATTTGATTAATGTAATTGATATAAAAGAGTTCAATAATTGAATACTGTTGAATTTGCAAGTTGTCTTATATATTATTTCTTATAGCAACAATACTAATTGGATTGTGTGTGTGTGTGTTTTAAGAAAAAGACAAAGAATGCACCTATGTCAGGTGAGATGAGCATGATGGGACGATACCATGATGCAGCTGGACAGTAATCTCTTATTTACTTGTTTGCTCAGGGAAGCTTCTTCCATTTCTGTGAAGGCAGATACTCATGACTAGACTTCAGAACTGTCTGTAACGGACAGAGTCTGGTGTGGGAGTACTACTATTATAATTCAACAAGATCACCCTAAGCAGTAGGACAAGGGACAACTAGTGTAGGACAAGTGTCACTTCTTATCACCTACTGAACCCTCCTGAAATCAGGATTTCAGTCCAGCTGGTCTTTAAAAAGAACTATAAAAGGTAGACCTTCAGGAGAAAATTTAGAGCAAAAACTGCAGATTCCCCTGCAGTCCAGTGATCTCAGATTGAAGATAGAAAGCATAGGATTTGCAGTTATGGAAATTATAGACATATTTAAGAAATATGTCCATTTAATGTTCACCTTTGTGCTACTTATAATTTCTCACTAACAATTTCCACTTTGAAGATAAGAGAACATATAAAGATTTTATTCCCCCAGATAAACCTAAAAGGATAAAAATACAGATTCACAAACCAGTGATCAAAATAAAACCTAGTTGACAAATATTATTTTGACAAATAATAGTAGCAGCATTTCAATCACTATAATTGTACAAAGGGAAAAAAGTGGGTTAATGCACTACAATAGATTGCCTAAATAAAGCATCATACAAATAATACATTAAACAAATATTCTCAAATATTTGGTAAATGATTTCACTTCAGTTCTGTTATGAACCTCCACTTGGGCTTGAGCACATGTAATGTATTTATTAAACCAGAGGCTTTACTTTAATTGACCTAGTTGAGTAATGGTGCTTTAATAGCAAAGCAAAAAATGTCCTGAAATCATGTGAAAGCATCTGGGTCCTTCGGAGTGCTGTCAATTCTCCCTTCCTTTCAAAATGATTGAATCAGTGCCTAGCAAGTAGGGACAAAAAAATTTAGCTCCTGATAGAACCTAAGGGGCTAAACTGGATATTCAGCTAGTATGCTTCTATCTTGTAGAAGCTACTATGCATCTTCAAATCTTGACCAGTCAATAACCAAACTGGTCAATTGCTCCAGTGTAATCTCGTGCCTGGTGTGGAACTGTGGGTTAGTGTGCTGAATTGCAAAGATGGTTTGCGCTGCAAGATAGGTGGTTAAAGCTCACCAGCCAGCCGCTCCTCGGAAACTGAATACAGGATCATTATGGGTCAGAACCAACTGACCCATAATGATGGTACAGCAATTTCATGCCACCTCTATATTTTGGTCAATACAGATAGAGGTGGAGCTGTGGTAGCTTAGTAAGTTACACATTGGGTTGCTTAGCACAAGGAGGGTTGCTATGAGTCTATATTGACTCAAAAGCATCTAACTACAGGAATAAAGGTACAGGCTCTTGATTATAATATACCACGTACAAAATAAAAACACTGCTGTTGTGGAATAGACGCTGATTCATAGTAACACTTTAGGACAGAATAGAACTCTCTGGTAGCGTAGTGGTTACAAATCGACCTGCGAACTGTAAGGTCAACAGTTCGAAACTACCAGCTGTTCCATAGGAGAAAGATGAGGCTTTCTGCTCCTGTAAAGATTTACAGCCTCGGAAATCCTGTACAGGGTCGCTATGAGTCGGAACCGACTCCATGGCACATAACAACAACAACATAGGGTTCCCAAGGTTGTAATCTTTATGGAAGCAGACTGCCATATCTTTCATTCACAAAGTAAATGGTGGCTGCCAATCAAACACTTCACCACTGCACCATCTGGACTCCTTAATAGCCATTTAGAACTCTGAAAACAAAGGCGCTATCAAGCTGTGAACCAGGCTTTCCAGGACTGCTAAACAATGGCCTGAATAGCTAAGCCTCTAGTGATATATCTGTCAAAGACAAGCTGATTTTACTGACCAAGATGCTTTCATCATGTTCGTCTAAACTAAGAGCAGAGCTTTATTTTAGTAAAGGTAGAACTTTAAAACAGAAAACTTTCCAACAGAAATTTTAAGGAATATAGAAAAAAAATGGCATTAGGAACATAAAATTCTCTATGCTTTTTTGCCAACACTGACCTTCTGTTCCAAAAGAAATATGTTTGTAGGGATTGCTGCAAAAGCCTTGTAGCTTGACTTGGTCTTGTATTGCTAGAACGAGTAACCAGAAAGCAAGAGTGGAGATGAAAAGGAGAAAGAACACAACATAACTTTAGACTAGTTCTACCAAGTTAATGACATGTTATCAAAGGAAGAAAAAATTCTTATGCTTGAACAACTCGTTTCTGACAGAAAAGACTAGCTCACCATGTTAATATTTTATTAGAATGAGAAGCAAAGAAATACCAGTAAAATATCAGCCTTGGGATCATAGACAATTATGTGCTCCCAATTTCAGAACTTAAAAAATCCATTTCCACAAAGTTACACACAAATTTCTCATTAGCAGCATTTCCTCCAAGGAGTACTAGTCTATAAATGCAGGCTTTTTTGCTTGATCCAGAAAGGAAAGTGGTTCTACTTTATAGTGCCATAATTAACCAAATGGTGTGCCAACAAATTTAATTGACCTCTTGATACATACTATTGCATCATTCATTTTTAAAAAATGAGAATACAGAAATTAGTAGCAGTTTTTTTAAAATCCACAATGTAGTAGATCATTTGAATATAATTAATATCAGCAATTTAGCTCCATAATGGAAAAACTAGGAGGTCAAGCTTTTAATCTTAAATTCATTTTCTTAAACCTCACCATAGTCTCCTGCACTTTCTAATGCAGTGATGTTAATGAAAGTCACAGAGGTATACATAATAAATGATAAAACATGTTGAATTTTAAATAAAACTCAAAGTATTAGAGTTCAGTTTTGTGGAGAGGGAAGTGCGTATGAGGAAGTTGTAGAAATCAAAATAATATGCACATAATAATATCAAAATCTCAATTTTGATATTGCGCTGGGTCCCAAAATGCTTAAATAAGTTCAAGGTTTCCAACACTTCAAAACTCTGCATATCAGAAAGCTTTCTTAGGGTTCCTGAGTCACAGGAAATCAACTTAGTGCTTCAGACTGTCTTGTTGTTGTTGTAAGTGCTGTGGAGTCAGTTCCAACCCATAGCATCCCTGTATAGGGTTTGCAATGAGCGACTGCTGAGCTTGAACTGCTGACCTTGTGGTTCAAACTGACTTTACAGTCCAGCACACTCACCCACAGCACCACATTAGACTGTCTTAGTGCCCTAGAAAGCCGACCAGAGGGCAGAGACCCAACCCATTGCCATAAAATCAGTTCCAACTCGTTGTTGTTAAGTGCATCCAGCGAGTTCTGGCTCATAATGAGCCTGTACAGGGTTTCCAAGAAACAGCTGGTGGGTTTGAAGTGCTGACCTGGTGGTTCCTGGTTCAGTGTTAATCCTACAGCACTACACATATAGGGTTTCCAAGACAGTGAGTCATTATGGGGAGCAGATAATGTTGTCTCTTTTTACTCTTGTCCTGTTTTATGTTTATGTTAGATATAATTTAAAAATTAGCACCTTAGAGACTGAGGCTTGTATATCTATTCATTGATACTCATACTTCCATATGTATCTACATGCATATATTCACATGCCCACACTCACAAATCCACACAAATTCACACACATGCACACTCTCATAAAAAATACTCAGCAAAATATACACAAGAAACAGTTCAGAAGCTCCATGCTTTTTTCTCCCAAGGAATAAACTCTGAATGCTCACTTATCTTTCACGTTCTCATCCCCAAGTCCCAATCAACTAGCTCTTCTCTGTGATAGAAAGCAGCAGTGTGGCCTTTTGCAAATCCTTCAACTCTTCTGGGTCCCATGCTTTAATCTTTTACATGAAAGGAATTGTTCGAAGATGTCTCAGGTCCCTTTAACCCCTAAGTCTCTACGTTGGCCCTGCATTCCCACATCTTTCAGAAAATTTGAATAAGGATTGAAAATGAAATGCCATCTCTTTCTGGGGAATAGAAGCTAACCTTTATTACTAATAAAATCACATACATTGCCCCATTTAATTTTATCAAAGGCCTGTAACTGAAAAGTCAATAAGAAAAGGAGACACGGAAAGGTTAGGTGACCACATAACCCATGAAGAGCAGAAATAGGTTTAGATCCCAGATGTGCCTTGATCCAATTCTCATGTTAACTCTTGAAGGAGAACATTTCCCCCCTAAATATAAAAATGAACTCCTAATGCAGAGTAAAATATACCACTATTACTCTAGGATGGTTTAAAAATATTTAATTGTAATAATAGATTACACTACTATCACTCTCTCTGTAACAGACATTATTCTAGAAGAGTTACATACAATATTCCATTTAATTGTCACAACAAACCTATTAGGTACATACCATATTATATTCATTTATACATGGAAATTGAGGTACAGAGGCATGAACTAAGGTCGTCAGCTAGGAAATCACACCTTGGATTTATATACACACTGTAGCTCAATAATTGTACACTATTTGTATCCCTGCCTGTCAGTTCAGAATCTGTCTGTAATCATTTATGTGTGTCCTTCTGTCCTCACCTGCCCTTAAAAATCTAGTTGGAGAAGTCTCCACAGAGATATTTCTTGTTATTGAAAACATAATGTCAAAGAATCTGAGAACAAAAAGTAATATTGGAGGCCATCTGGTTCAACCTCTTCATCCAAGACACGAATTCCTCTCTTCGTCTGTTCTCTCACCACATGAACACTTGTCTGTCCCCAAAGGCAGCACATTCAAGTCTAATTGTTAGAATTGGTACAGAATTTTCCTAATATTGAGTCAAAATACGTCTCCCACTGAACTCCTCCATCGGTCTTACTCATAATTCCCTGTTGGAATTGTGTCACCTTTACAACTCCCTTCTTATTGATCCTCAATCAAAGAATTCTACTATCCTCAAGAATCTCCAGTCAATACTCCTTTAAATGTTGAAGGAACAAAGTATATAACTCTCTTGTTGTTGTTGTTATGTGCCATCAAGTCGGTTCCGACCCATAGCGACCCTGTATAGGGTTTCCGAGGGTGTAAATCTTTACGGGAGTAGAAAGCCTCATCTTTCTCCCGCGGAGCGGCTGGTAGTTTCGAACCGCTGACCTTAAGGTTCGCAGCCCGATTCGTAACCACTACGCTACCAGAGCTCCTTAGATGTGTTTAATACAAAGCAAAACATAATAATCACCTCTATGATATTGATGCTAAACATCATTATTGCAATGGACATATATTAATTAGGATTTTCTTGTTGGCTTTTGTGGAGAGTTTAGAACAAATATTCATGAAGGGGAGAGCAGAGTCATGATCAAATCACATCATCTGAACTCCCTATTTCTTCTTTTTCAGCATTTGTTGACCTTAAACTCCATCCTGTGCTTATGCTTTTATTTATTAGATCTAAAAGTTGGAATTTAAGTATCATCTCTACCCAATTTCATCTAATTAAAGTTGCTTTTTTATTGCAGACCACACCACCAAGGTTAGGATTTTTATCTAAATTTATGAGCCATTTTCTGAGACATTCTTCCAGGCAGCTGATCAGTAATCCATCCTGCAAATCTATTTGGATATTACAGTTCAAATAATTGATTCATTCAACAAATATTTATTACCTATCTCCTACATGGGAAGCCCTGGTAGTACTGTGGGTTAAGTGCTGGTAGTTCAAACCTGCCAATCACTCCATGAGAGAAAGATGAGGCTGTCTGCTCTTGTAAAGCTTTGCAGTCTCAGAAACCCTAAGAAGTTCTGCTCTATCCTAGAGCATCACTGTGAATTGGAATCAACTTAACAGTAGTAAGTTTGATTTTCTTGGCTCTATTACATGCACTGCTATGTGTATTGGAGATTGAGCAGTAAACAAAGTATTCAAAGCCTTTAGTCTCATTTTCCCCTGCCTACTACTACTGTGAAATAAACATTTAAGTGGGACAAAAAGGAATATTGGGATATATGATTACAGAAAGCTTGTAAGCCTGTCTTTAGCTTATAACTGATTATATTAGCTAAAAGGGGTAGTAGAATTTGCTCAAGGAAATAGACTTCTTGTAAGCCTTGTGGAGTATGGGGCCTTAGGTAGAATCCTGAGCCCCACCCAGAAGAACATTCTGAGGTGAGACATTACTACTTGGAAGGACAAACAGACCAACCTGGAGAGGCTAGAGGAGCAGGAGATGTTTCTTGAAAGAAAACCCCCCATTAATAACAAATTTTAAAAAGTAGACTATTTGGCTGTTACAAGATCAAGCAAGCTGTTCGCCTGGGAGCCTTCAAGGCAAAAAAAGTCAGCCCATCAGGGTAAACCCCTTCTAAGACTGAAACTCAAAAGGAACACACAAGCAGCTTGTATGCTCACTGGTGACCGCCCTGGTCTACTTGTGAGTGGAAGTTGGGAAAATGCAGCAATGAAGACATGGGCTGAATTTGACCATGTTCCATTGACACCTGTTGACCTTGAGATGAGAGAGAGAAGAGGAAGGGCTGGCTAGTCTGAAGTTTAGGGAGACATGTGAACTTCTGAGCCCATACACTGACCTAACCACTGGGGGCTAGAATTAAGAGTGAAGTGGCCAGCTGGTCTGAAGTGGGGGGAGATGTTTGAGAACTTCCAAACTTGCAGATACACCCATTTGAGCTAGCTTGGATGGCTTGCTGACCAGAACTCAACCAGATGAAAATAAAGTTTGGTACAGGAAGCAAGTGTAAATTGCTACAATTTGATGACCTGAATCTTTGCTTATTGTAGGGATTCTTGGAATTAAGCAATAGCCAGAGCCCCAAGCAACAGCCAGTGGGGCGGCTCCCTGTCAAAAACCAGGTAGCAGACTAGTATCCATACTGAAAACAGTATGTGCTGGACACAGAGGATATAGTTTGAGAGCGTTTACAGCTAGTCTTTCAGAAAGCACAAAAACAACGTTTTGAAAGGTCAGCCTGTCCCTTTCCCTCCACTCCCTGCTCAGAAAGAATATACTTCTACTTCTTCACACCTTCCCTTGATCCTGTTTACTTGCTTCAACAAAAACCCATGAGAACTATTTTTGGGGGCCTCAGTCAAGCCGGACTGTGGTCTCCCTTAGGTCCCTCATTGAATTGTTTCTGGACTCTGAGTAGTTATTGCCTCCGTG